GATCTAGGTCATACAGAGAAGATTTTAATAAAATATTTCAAATGTAAAGAAAGAGTAAAAACCAGATCATGAGGCAGCATATCTAATATTCTGAATAAGACACATTTGTACAGAAGTGTGATCATTTTTTTGTGTATGGAATGTGTCCACACATTCTACACTGCAAAAAATTAAATCTAAATAAATCTTTTTTTTTTTTCTTAAAATGAGAGCATATGTTCTTGAATTATGGTGGTAAGTGAGACACTTTTCCAATGAAAGAAGACAATTTACATTTAAGATAAGAATAAAACAACTGCATAGTCATATTTCAATTGCATATTACCTAATTAGCTAATTTTAAGAGTAAATATAGTCATTCCACCATCAAATCATCTTATTTACCTGCTCAAATGAAAGGTAAATACACTTTTAAGGATTGTTGATTTATTTCTAGATCCTTTTTGCATTGAAAGTCTCTGTTCATGAACTGTAATTAAGCTCTTTGTCTCTCAGGTCCTGGATGTTTCAGGAGCCGCTGTGATCCAGAAGGAGCTGCCACTTTGCCAGGTGGACATTTTGGATGACTGCGGCCATTCTGTTGCCTTGGAGAGGCCAGGAAGTATCGCTAAACTCATGATGGACTTTGTGATGAGTTAAGCAAAAGAATGACGTTCTGTAAGGATGGATGGATGATGGAGGAGGAAATTTTAAAATGCTGATCTTTATTAATAACATTCCATGGGATGAATTTTAATTTTGTTTAGCAGAAAAACTGACAGGTTTTTATTTCTCTTTAGGAAAAATGTTTATAGATTATCAACCCACAGGTTTTTCATTCTACAATAAACTGGGACTAAAAAGCCAAACTGGGAACTGTGGGTAACTGGTTACTGATTCCTGTGTGATTTTCATTCCAGATGTTTTTTGTTAAAATAAATGTGTTGCTCTAATGATGGATCAATAATTTCACACAAAAATCTTCAAGAATTTAAAGATTCAAATGGTTTAAAAGAAAAAAATCTGTATGATTTATTTATTTTTGTATCATTTGACGACAAAATTACAGCACAGGATACCATTTCAAATATATATTTTAATATTTTCAGTTGGGTTTTAAATAATCATATAGAGAAGATTGAAATGATTTAGATACAATTAATCTGGAGATAATCAGATTACTCCCCCATTGCTGCTGACACAAAACACAAGTTATAATAAAGATTTAGAATCACCACTATCCAGTCAGTGCATTTCCACTAATATACGTTTATTTACATCTTTTATTACAGTGAGGAAAATAATTGTTTTAACAGTCTGCTATTTTGCAAGTTCTCCTGCTTAGAAATCATGGAGAGTCTGAAATTGTCGTCGTAGGTACATGTCCACTGTGAGAGACATTTCAGTCTGAAAAACTCACACAAAGAGAAACTGATGAAGCCTTAGCTGCGATGGTGGAGGAGGGGCTGGAGGTGGGTTAAAACAGGGTCATCTGAATGAAGTAACACAGTCCATCCACCGCCTGCCCACAGGAGCAGACAGGTGCGTATCGGAGGCCTTTTAAGATGAACTTTGGATGCTGATTGGCTTTCGTGGAGGTGTAGTTTAAAGCTGATTGGCCGTATCGCAGGTGGGTGTAGAAAAGCAATCAGTTTCTTCAGCTGAACTTCTGCCTAGGCTCTATTAAAAAAATAAAAATTATCAAAATATATGTGTCATGGTCTTGGTCCTGCTGTTCTTTACTTTGCTCCTTGTTTTCTAGATTTATTGGTTTAATTCCAGTTTTGTTGTATTTCTAGATTTATATTAGTTCTCATGTTTTTCTGTTGTCCTCTTTTGCCCTCTTGTGTGTGTTGCTTTCCCCTTGG